AAAAAAAAAAAAAAAAAAATACTATGACTGTTAAAGGATTCAGAGGAGAGATTTCAAAAGCCAGGAATATGTTTGCAAAATTACCTCCTTGGTAATCCTGCAAAAACCAATGTGAAACATGACATAGATTGTTCTTGAACAGTTTTGTTAGAGAAATTATACTCTGCTGCCATCTCCTAAGAAAAATTCTTCCATATTGGAGTAGGGAGGAATCACATGAAATTGCCTTGAATTTGGGATCCTTCTGCCTCAGTGTTTCAAGCAGCTAGGATTACAGCTATGTGCCACCATGTCCAACTTCTCTTCATTTTATAAAATACAGGGCTGGGAGCATAGCTCAGTGGTAGTGTGTGTGGTTAGTATGCATGAGACCCTGGATTCAGTCCTCAACAACACACACACCCACACACACACACACACACACACACACACACACACACACACACACGACAGAAATAATTCAAAATTATTCTGAATCTAGTTTGCTAACTCCAACAAAACAGGATGAATTTTACTTTTTGCAGTAGTCTCCAACTTCCCCGTAGCAGTGAAGTCTCTGTTGAAAGCATTCAGTGAACTTTTGCTGATTGTCCTTAGATAATACAGACCTCTGGTATAAAAGCCATTTTTCCTGCTCTCTCAGCGGATCACTGAGTATCCCAGGGGCAAGGATAATGAGAAAGCTAGGAGACAGCCCTACCAGGGCCCTTCATTTTACAGTCGGAAGCCGTAGCCCTGAGAGGAGAATGGTACCTTAGGTGCTGCTGAATGACCACTCAGGCCCTCCTTCACCTTGGATGCATCATGCCTTTGAATATGTGAATTGGGAAGCCTCCAGGCCAGAGGTCCTTGAGCTGCTTGTGAGTCACACATTCTAGGAGCTGATCAAAAATGCACATTTCCAGGGGCTAGGGAGATGGCTCAGTGGAATAAGTGCTTCCCTGGGAAGATGCACATTTCCAAATACTCTGACTTAGTTGACCTGAGATGGGCCAAGGAAATGTATTTTTAACAAGCTCCCCAGGTGCAGTTTGCCCTAGTCTCTTTTTGGAAGGCACTCTATTCCCTTCCAGATTGTGTGAGCAGCTCCCCCTCTCTTCCCTTCTGCAACCCAAGCCTCTGGGTGCTTCTCTCCACGTAGCAAAGTATCCTTGTCTTTTTCCTGACCTACTTGCCTGGGACTTTGTCCCTGCTAGTGTTCTCTTGGTCTGACCACCTTCAGGCCTGTATCTCACTCCCTGTGCTGAATCAGATTAAAATAGGACCTAAAAATAGTTCCTCTAATGGCCCCTGCATTGCAGCCTCCACTTCTGTTCTTGGCTGGAAGGTGGCCAGACTGACTCAGCACAAATGCTCATCTCCAGAAGGAAGTGAGAATTCAGCTTGTGACGGCTGAGATGGGGCTCTGCTCCCTAGGTGGAAATGTAGCCCTTCATCTGTCAGAGAGCTTTTCTCTTTTCAAAGTAGTAGGCTGAACAAAGGAATCTCCTAGCCTTTAAGTAGAGAGGTCTTAAAGCAGATGAGAACCACAAGACAATCCAGCCACTTTTGAGTTATTAGACTGGCTTGGGAGGACCTAGAAGCTTCTTTCTCACCTGAAGTTGTCCATAGACTTCTTGCAGTTCCCATTCTGGGGCACATGAACCCCTCTCTGACATATTACCATTTGCCACAACCAGGACATGCTCTCTTGCTCACTCTGAGACAGGATTTCACAAATTTGACAAGGTAACCTTGAACTTTCTTTTTTTTATTTTTTATTTTGGTACTGGGGATCAAACTCAGGACCTTGTGCTTGCCAGGCAGGTGCTTCAACCACTGAACCATTTCCCCAGCCCAATAGTATGCCTTTGTTTCTTGGTTTTTTGTTTTTTGTTTTTTTTTTTTTTCTTTTGGTGGTACCAGGGATCAAACTCAGGACCTTGCGCTTGCCAGGCAAGCACTTATCCCACTAAGCTATCTCCCTGGCCCAGCCTTGAACTTTCAGTCCTCCTTCCTTGGCCT